GAATATATGTTGTGATGCAGTTGTGATGTAAAGACAAAGTAGTAGTCTTTTTATTATACTTTTCTATGAACTGACAAGTGGGTGTGTAGGCACACGGTGGCCCTTCTTTTGTGTATGAGAGAATCTTTTGTGTTACCTAGAAACTACTTTTGTGTATGTAGACACGAACTTATTTAATTTCGAATAGTAATGGAGTATTTTCAATGAATCAAACTGTTGGGTTTTAGCCATAAGAACTTTCCTATGTGCGCATGCAAAACCCTATTGCTTGGATCTAGGCTTTCTAATTAAACATGCTTTGAATCCAAGACTTCTAATGGCTAATTAGGTTAAATAACAATATTAAAACAGATCTAGAATCATACCTTTGAATCCCTTGTTGATCTTGGTTGTCTTGGAGCTTCTAGAGTCACAATTGTCACTCCTCTAATGGCTTACAAACACCAATAGCAAGCAAGATGATTTAGGAGAGAGGAGAGGGGATGGAATTCGACCAGAGGTTCCTTGCTTTAGGTTCTGAAAGGTTGTACACGAATTCCACATCCCAAGGGCCTATTTATACCTTTAGACTCCTTAAGGGTTTCACCCTAAACCCTAATTGGATAATCTTCTCTTAAGGCTATCCAAATCCATTCCATAGATATCCCTATTGACGATTTTGAGCTATCCTAAAGCTCTTAGAATCCGTCCAAGGTCCATCCTAATGGATTTACAGTCTAAAGTCTAACTATCAAACAATTGACAGATTATACCCTCTTATTTAATTAATCTCTTTAAGTCACCAAATTAATACCAATTAATTTATGACTTATATTAATCAAATAGCTAAATATTATTCCTTATAATATTTACTCTCTCTTAACAAATCATCCTTCAAGTTACTATGGTGAAGGCAACCCAAAAGGACCATGCACCACCGAATATAGTTATAGCCTTAGACACTATTCCAACACAAACTACCACATTCAATTACTTCTTTGGTATATGTATGCACTATTGTCTCAGTGATTCCATTCTAGTCAAAATTACTTCTTTGTATTCATTACAGTCAAAGAATTAAATCATATACGTATGCATTGTTATATGTATGCTTCCATTTATTCATTGTTATGTGTATGCTACTTTTCCTGATTTCATTCCATTCAAACATGAAGTTAAGATAATGATTCCATTCCATTCAAACAGCTTTCAACACATCATTTCATCATATACACGATGATCAAAAAAAATCCTATGGTAAACTTATATATTTTTTCCTTCATTGCAATGTCATGAGAGTACTTTTCCTTTTTCATTTGCTCCATGTCTTCCTTCACCTTCTCTATTTCGGTTTTTAATGCTACTAATTCAGGAGGAAGCACATACGTCCCTCTTTTAATAACATTAGCCCTACATGCCACGTAGGATCAAACTGACACGTAGGATAGACAAAACCATTGAAACCAGCAAAAAGCATTCGGAAGGGGGGAACTTACACAATTCAACAAGTTAAAGGGTTAATAGAGCATGAAAAAAAGTTTAGTGACCAAATGTGGCCAATCGCAAAAGTATGTTACCCTCTTAAGTCATTATCCTAAGATCTAAATGTTGATTTGAAATGGGATAAGACTCTAAGACGGGTGATATGTACAAATAGAGAATTCCTTTACAACCCAAAATAATTACAAAAAAACATACGCAACCAATGAATCGAACATGGGGCAACTGGAAACAAGGCACACACTAATACCGTTTAATCTACAACTATTATGAAATTTTCATTTAACATATTATATATATATATATATATATATATATATATATATATATATATATATATATATATATATAAACACTGTTTTAAAATTGAGCCCTCAACTTTTACGGGACCCTGGGCCATTGCCCAGCCTACCCCACCCCTTGGGTCAGACCAGATTATAAGACGATGGATGTATGTTATTATAGTTTCACCGACATTTGGCAAACCTGAATTTCTAACTTTACATATAGAACCTAAAAAAATTAGATAAGATTAATGTTAGAAAAAAGAAGATGTAAGATTATTTGAGGTTATACAAGTCCATAATGTTAGAAAAAACGGGATACAGATAAACTTGGATCAGTGAGAGTTGTGAAACACTTTCAGATTAAAGCATTTCGAGGGTACACTCAAAATCTCTAATCGGGTGGAACTCACTGTTTTTTTATAATGGAGTAAAGTTTTGAAAACAAGAATGCAAAACAAAATAACCAAAATAACTCTTTGATTAATTGGAAAATCACTCAAAACCAATGTTTTTACAATCTGTTCTCATAATCATAAACTCGATTATGGACACGTATACATAGCCTAACATACCAACTTGTATTAGACTAGGAAATTTATGACCAACTTGCCATAAACTAAACTTTCCATAAATTAGATTGCTTGGACCCCAAGACTTAGGATTCCAACAATCACCCCCGAATCTCTAAGTCCTTCTAGAGAATTCTTCAACCCGATCCGTATTTAAAAAACGGATTCGTCACTGTCATCATGTTCCGAAAAATCACCGTCTTGTAATTTTTGGAGTCGTTCCGGACATTCAGAAGCAAAGTGACCCGGTTTGTCATACCGAAAACAAATCACCTTAGATCGATCGTTTTCCCTATTTTTCCGATTCTTCCCACAACAACAGTTACAATTTTTGCAATCAGAATTAGAATTGGACAGTTTATTGGGTCGATTGCTTTGAGAAACCCTATTATTCCCTTTGGGCCCGCCTGACCCATGTGACCCTCCAGACCCGGATCCACTCGACCCATTAGTCCCATTAAACTCATTCGCTTTATTAGACCCATTCGATCCTTTCCAGTTTCCCTTCGTTCCCGATGAGTTACCCCACCAGTCGACGACCCACCTCCATCTCCGGTCGATTTTTCGGCAAATAGAACCCTCGATTGTCCTTCTCCAGCATCGACTTCCTTTATTCTTTCTTCATACGCCTTCAATAGACCCACTACGTCTTCAAACCCTACCGATTTTAAATCTAGTACCTGTTCAAGAGATGCAACGATGTGAATGAAGTTTCTGGGTAATGATTTGAGGAATTTCTTCACCAATTTTGATTCCTCAATCGTTTCTCCTAATGCCGAAGATGTAGACGCGATTCCGGACAGCTTTCCGGCAAAGTTGTCGATTGTTTCTGACTCGAGCATCTTCAGGCGATCGAATTCCGACATCAAGGTTTCTAATCTCGCTTCTTTGACTCTATCTGCGCCTACATTACGCGCTCTAATCGCATCCCACAATTTCTTGGCCGAATCCTGATCTCCAATCTGCATTATGAGGTTTTCTGGTAGGGCTTGATATAGCAAACCCATGGCAAGACAGTCCTTTTCTTTATTGACATCGGTTCCTGGATCAATCACAGTCCAGGCTTTGTGGATGCGTAAGACAACCTTCATACGCATTGCCCACACGGTGTAGTTAGTGGATGTGGGCATCGGACACGAAACTGTGGTTGTCCCAACCTCCTTCACTCTCACCGGAGCTTCCCCCTTCTCCCCCTGTATCTGTGATGTTGACCTGACTCGTCAACAGGTACAAATCGATCTCACAGCTTCTCAACCTAAGCTCTGATACCAATTAAAGTTTTGAAAACAAGAATGCAAAACAAAATAACCAAAATAACTCTTTGATTAATTGGAAAATCACTCAAAACCAATGTTTTTACAATCTGTTCTCATAATCATAAACTCGATTATGGACACGTATATATAGCCTAACATACCAACTTGTATTAGACTAGGAAATTTATGACCAACTTGCCATAAACTAAACTTTCCATAAATTAGATTGCTTGGACCCCAAGACTTAGGATTCCAACATGAAGAATGAAGAAGATGTTATGAAATCTGTACCCAAAATGAATCCGAAATTGATCCTATAACAGAAACTAACTTCCTGTCCTAAAACTGTCATATGGTAGTTACAGGAAAACAACTTCGTGTCCAAAAACGATAATATTACCTGTCAAAAACTAACATAAAACCGCATCTATAAATGGATCACAAAACTGGATGTTTTTACAAAAAATACGAATTTCTGAGACATTTTTTATATAGTAACATAACTCATATAAAAAAATTTCGCGCTGAACTAGCAGCTCGACCCCGACCAGGGGCTCTGCCCCTTACACGCCGCTCCCAGGGGTGCTGCCCCCGGGCCCCCATTTAGTTCAGGGGCTTCGCCCCTAAATAGCAGTATACTTTCAACAATGACAAAATCAAACAAATGTGCACTCCGCACCATACTAATTTGTTCGATAATCGTCAAAGTGACATTGATCAACAAATTAACCCCACTACACTTAAATAATATTAGTGATATAAAATCACCAACACATAAAACTAGAGGGAATTGTGTCATGCCTGTTGCAATCTTCATTAGTTTTTTGGAAACCACATCACTACAACATTAATTTTGGCATACTAGAGATTCAACATATCATTTAAAGGGGAGGGTTGCCAACTCACCGTGGAAGTATTTTTGTTTTTTGAAAACCTTAATACACATACAAACGCAAATGTTTTTCCTTCTCCTCTTCAAGACAATATGAAAAACTTTGTTTTTGCAACATGTTAAGGTGTGTGTATGGGTGTGGGTGTGTGTGTGTGAGGGGGAGATGGTGTATATAATGATAATGCTCCTGACTCCCTTCGGCCTAATAACCAAGCCGTTGTCAGTATTCGAGCATCTGTCTTTTCTTATCCATCAAAGACTTTTTCTGCAAAATAATCTAATATGATTACATAATGATAATGCTCTATGCGATTATCTGGTCCATTTCGTTCTTTTTTATCGCTCCATTCCATATAATCAAACCTAATCATTCAATTAAAAATGAACTCAATATACAAAAGATTACAATCAACACTAGTTTTATTTGTAGTGATCAAACAAGAATCAAAGAATCAATATATCACAAAACCACTATACAAATGAACAAAACATTAATCATATAAATCACTTCAAAAAATCAAAATCTTCTCCCTGAACTTTGCCAAACTTCAACACATTGTTGATCTTTCCTTGTCACAAACATCTTGTTTCCTCCAAATCCCACATTCGTGATCCTATTTCCACCCAAATCCTTCACTCTCCCTAAAACATTCTTCCTAAAAATTCGATCTTTTTCATTGTTCAAAGAACCCATCAAAACCTCCGACCATAACTCCAATTCCCCTTTCTTACCACAAAAAACTTGGTTCCCATGGCTTTCAATCTTACACCCAAACCCTTCTTTCTTGCCGTTGTTAACTTTTCGAGTGTCACCAAGACAATTCCATGAGTTATTAGATCCAAAATTTCTTAAATCAATGTAAGAAACCTCCCCTGAGTTTACACCAATCTTGAAAACAGCCGAAAGGGCATCAGAAACTGTTATATCCGAAAAACAATCAACATTTTCTTTAATTTCCCAAACTGCCCTCCCAGATCTTATGTCCCAAAACTTTATGTTTCCTGAAACCCCAAAAGGACCACTATGAGACCCAGAAGCCATTAACAGATTAACACTAGGAACCCAATTCAATTTTGTAGATGGGATTGCGGAATCAAGATCAGCACCAAAGATTTCATTATGGGCGATTTCTGAAACAAGTTTGAAATCATCTTTAAGATCATAAACCATGATTGAATTTGAATTTCTTCGACCTGATTCGAAGCTAGTGAACAAGAATTCAGGGGAAATCCCAATTGCTTGAACAGTTGAGCTGGATTTCGTAACATTTTCCCAATTTAGAGTTTGTCTAACGAAACCCAAATCCAGATCAAGAATCTGTAACCCAGAAAAGTCTGTAGCGCCAGCTGCTACGATATTTGGGGATAAAGCTAATAAAGAATCGATAGCTGTGAAATTGGTCAAAGTTGTCGACTTTCTTTGTAAAGACCAATCAAAGGATGTGATTTTGCTACCATGGGAAACATGAAGTGACCCGTTTGGTGTTGTTGCAATCGCAGAAGGTGAATCTCTACCACTCAGAGGCAAAATTATTGATTTTTCGAGGTCGAAAGGTTCAAATTGAGATGGGTTTGATTGTGATTCAACTAGAAGATCATTAATTCCGTAAAACTTTGCTTCGAATATGATATCTTGAATGTCGAATGCTTTTGCTTTTGATGGAAGATTACCTGTTCTCAACAACGAAAGAAGAACCGAGAACAGTTCAGGGTCTCTGTCGATAAATGGGACGCCATTGTTGTCTTGATCACATGAATCAAAGAGATTAGAGAAAAGGGTCTTGGAACCAGCTAGGGTTAGGGTTTGTTTGGTGGTTTGAAAGAGTTGACCACCCACATCAATGGTGATGGCATTGGTGGAGGGTTGGTGGTTTGTTTGGTTGAATTTGTTGTGATTGAGCGAAAACCCATTTGATATAGGGGAGGATTGTGAGAAAGGAGGCATTTTTTTCAAGATTGAGGAAGGGGTTTGATTTCTGTCGAAGAATTGAGAGGGAAAATTTGGTGTTCGAGAAGAAAGAATGTGTAATGATTGGGAAAAGGGGTTAGTTTTGTAGAGGAGGATATACTGTGGTCAACAGCGATGGCTGGTAGTTTGTTTTAGAAGAAAGACAAGCTGGACAAAAGATACTTTGGAGATTTTTGTAAAGTTTTTTAGTTGGTGCATGTGTTGTAATTGATTATTTAAATTTGAAGTGGTAATTATTTAAATGAATCTCAATTATTTATTTCTCATTAATACTATTTGATATTTTCTTTTTATGGAATATGGTAAGCTATTTGATATGTTTTTTTTTTATAGAATATGGTAAAAGGTCGGTCTAATCTGTTCGGATAAATTTAAACCGTTTGATACTCTAATTTGAAGCCTCTTATTTAATTATATTGTCTTTTATTGGTCAAATAAAAAGTTGTATCTAGCTTTGACTCAAATACTCGATTAGATCTCAAAAACTATCGAACAACCATTTACTACAAACTAAATGAAAAATGTTCATTGTTAGAGTCTTAAAACAAGGAAGAAAATAAAAATAAAGTAGTCTAAAGTACTTATACAACCAAATTGACCCAATTTGTTAAATAATCAAAGCATAACATGAAATTACATGAAGAGAAAATACATTTCACGAAATAGGCTCGAAGAAAGTTTTGGAAGATTATGCAATACTTATGTGTTTTGATGATAGCCACAAACTGATTGCCAGAATAGGCTCATGAAATGTGTTTTCAAGAGGATTTGGGAAGCGATGTAACACTTTGCGCGATCAGTTGTCACAAAACAACAAAAAAGATGGATTAAAGTGTTAAAGATCATTTTTGCAAATCGTTGACAAACTACATGTTCATTTTGTAATAAATGTTAGAAAAAGATGTTTAAATGGTGATATCACATCCACGATTTTACCAAATTTTGTGATTAGCCTTTTAAAATCGGTTAAACTTTACATTTAAAACGAATAGTTATGATTTTATCTCGTAATAATGATTTCAACTATTCATAAACGCCATCATCTTTTCATTATAATGGTCTTTACATATGTATTTCTAACAAATTATCCAAGATATATAGCAAATGTCAAAATACAGGTCGAATAACGAATCAAAACATATATTTTTAGTACCCAATGAAACAGGTAATAAGGTCATATATGTTACAAAGATGACCTGTGACAAGTTAGCATAGTCAAACCAAACTTAACCATGGTTGAGTAAGAATTTTGACTTTGACAAGAATAATGGCCACTCATGCGCACTTGAGCATGCTTCTTTTTATATTTTCTTGCGAATATCTCTGCAATTTCTGACCAAAGTTTGACAACAAAGATAAACCATCCCAAGATTCCATTATTCATGATCATTCACCAGCTAGCATTATAGAAAATTCCACACGATTGGTCAAACACCAATAGGATCATATCTAATTCAACAAACATATACATGTTTTTAACATAAAAGTTAAAATTGGAAATCATTATCACCTTTAAGAAACCAATTATGGAGCAACGGAGATGATTTATATATAATAACTTTTTGTTATATACAATTATATAATATATAAATGGTATAATTTTTTGAAACATATTATGTATGATAAAAAAAAATATTGTATACGGATACTAGAGTTAATGGGACATCTCCAATTTCTAAAAGATCTTTTAACTATGTATCATAACATCTAATCATATAGACAAAATCCTATAAATACATTGATACAAGAGAAGATTTTTATACTATGCAGTATGCATCATAACTTACACTTTCTGCTCACTATTCTAATACATGTAAGAATACTAACACCTACAACTTCAAACGATCATAACTTTCAAATGCTCTTAACTTTCATAACTTTCAAACCGAAGAAAGTCCCATTAATATATGAAATTAGTAAACATCATGAATAGAAGGAAAACCATTTCTGCAATTATCATGTTCATATGACTAAACTCACTGTGAAGGTTATCAATGTTTGCTCAATGAGCTACAACAGTTATGTCCGAGCTCACAGGTTTTAATCTTGAACCGGAGCCGAGTTTTCCTACTACCCGCAAAAAAAAAAAAAATACATATTTATTTTACATATATATATATGGTAAAGTAAAGTTCCAACTTCCATGCCACTTTTTAGGCAGAAAAAAGAGTTCTTTTCTGTGTAGGAACACCAACCCCAAAAGGGTCATTGACTATCTAATTCTTGATTCTTGATTTCTTGAATTCTTGGATTCTTGGTTTCTTGTCGGGTGGTGTCCAATCATTAGCTGACACCTGGCTGCATCATCGGGAAGAAAGACCAGTTCTTGATTGACCCGTTGTCCCTTCCAAGAACTTTCTCATTGGTCCACCAATCCGATTCGGCTCCATCCGTACTATCAAAGTTGAATTCTTTAACAGATCCAAGCGTTGTATTTGATCTATGCTTCTGATGTTTTGCCACGTCATCGCCATGTGAATCCCGACCATTTGCCACGTCAGCACACCGTCGCCTCTCCACACATCTCACAACTTGTTCCGGTGTAACCTCAAACGAAACCCTATGATCAACTAAATGTTGTTGATCTTCGTTTCTTGTTCCATAAGATGGTCCCATGCTCGTGAGCAGGAAACCCTCACGAGACCTGGGACCCACGGGATCCGGGGTAAATCCCCCGGATCCCTGTCTAGATTCCCATTGACAAGGATAAACCTTACCATGAAGGAAGTAGGGCCCGCCAGGGCCCCGGGTAAAGTCTCCATCCGGAAACGGAGACGAGTTGCCGGAATTTGAGATTCCGGAGCTCGGTGATATCAGATTACCCATCGGGCTTCCGGGGTATAACTGATAAGATTGAAACTCATACGGTATAACATCGTTTTGGTTACTCGATCCGAGAAGCCGGGCATACGGAACTTCCGGCGAGGATGGGGTGGTCAGGTGGACGGATTCCGGCGGCGGGGTGAACGGAGCGGTGGATGGCTCGGTGGTGTAAGTGGAGAAAACGGGCGGTGACACCAGCTGGGTTTCGTGTGCGTAAGGTCCAATGGCAAACATGTTGGCGGGGCCGCCAGGTGAGTACATGCTGGCGGACACGGAGGTGAAGGAAAGGAAGCCGCCAGGGGAGTGGGTGGCAGACGGTGGTTCTGATTGGAGGAAGGATGCCGGAGATGAGGGAGGAGCAATGAACGGAAGGACTATTGATGATGGTTGTGACATGTGTGAGGTTGTCGGAGGTTCTGTTCTTGAGGAATTAGGCTCTGGAACAAGAACTGCGTGTCCAATTCTTTTGCTTTGCTTTTGAGATCCGAAACACCATGAAATGTTCCAACATCTTCCCCATCTTCTTTTCTGTATTAAGTCAAAATGAAACGTCTTTGAATCAAACAGAGGAACCACAGAATGTTTTGATATATCTGATCAAAATCAAATTTTTTTTATCTAATACTGATTCATTCAGTCTTCCAGATTGTAAACTTTCTGTATTTCTCTATAATTATGGTAATTTTTAGCATAAAAACTAAAAAGAATCGGCTTTATTTGTTAACTAAAACTCGGACTACAAGAACAAATCACCTGAGCAATAAACAGCATATACATATACATACATAATATACGAGCTAATAGTATAATTACATATATACCCTTTGCTATGATTGACACCCTTTGCTATGATTGACATGTATCAAGATCTATAGCTATGGAAATGATCAAACAACGAATCCCAGATCTTAAATTTTAAAGAAATCATAAACCCGTGAAACAATTTCATCAAGAAGGAAAACCCATCAAATAACTGATTCAAAATAGCAGAATCGAATCAAAAAGATTGAATTTTTGTTTTCACCTGAACTGAAGAAGATTGAGTTGCTCTATTCTCCGCCGACTGGATCGCCGTCGCGGCGGCGTTAATGGTCACCATGGTATCATTCACACCTCTCATCTTCCAAATCAAGGTACCAAATAAAAATCAATCTCTCTCTCTCTAGATGATTTTCTCTCTTTCTCTCTCTAAAAGTATGTATGATGCTCTATATCACGTTTGAGGTCAAACACGGCAATGACTTGAAGATTTTCTATAATTATTTGTATGTAAAAGTAAAATATTATTGGAAATATAAGCTAAAAAGTCTAAAAGGTGCTTTCGTATATATAGGGTTGCGCATTGTGAAATTACATAGATACCCCTTTTTTATTTCATGAATTGGTAATTTAATAGATGCACCTGAATTTCACTTGCCTCATTGAATGATTCACCTTATTTACTTTGCATTTAAAAAGCTCACACCAAATGGGCATTGTTCCTGCCATTATTAAACCTTAGCTTGCCAATGGCATGAATGTGGGCTGGCTTATTGTTGTGGAGTTATTGTGAGGGTATAAATGTAATGCAAGAAATTTTAAAAAAAAAGGATTGTGGATGAATTAGATGTTCATACTTCATAGTTCATATATGAATTTGAATGTTGGGTTTATTATCTTTGGGCATTTTTGATGTACTAATATATAAGTATTGTTAGAAGCATTTGTATTGACATAATTTATTCTTATAACAAGATTCTTTATCGTATCGACTTAAGGGAACTTAATGTCTTGTAAGATAATTAAAAAAAAATCGTTATTTTTTCGAAATATAAACTTACGAAGAAGTGGTATCCAATTTACTCTAATTTATTGTAAGAAAAATCATTAGTGATATCGAAATATTTAAGAAAATTATGTTTTTCTAATCGCAAGCATAATACTAAGAAGCAAAAAGCCAAAAAAAAAAAAAAAATTGGACATCAATATAAAAAATACAAAGTTAAGAGTAGTAACAACCAAGACAAACCCAAGCTAAAACAATAAGAAAACTATAGTAAAATATAAACGTATATAAAATATGGTAAAAATAATAATCACAGTTTTATTTTAATTTATGAATATGTAAAAAGGCTACAAATGCAAAACCAAAAAATTATAAAAGTAATTTTTTA